TTTCGGCAGCCATGAGAGTCCGTTGGCTTTTCTTTCCCTTCTGGCGGTTTCCCATTTTATCTCCTTTTCTAGTATTTTTTTTCTCTTGCTTTAGAAGCCTTGGGGGACCGCAGCCACTTGAGTCTTTTGAAAAAAAGCACACACACACACACACACACGAAAAGCAAACTCTGCATATGCTCAAGGTTAGTTTTTTCACCCATGTCCACTTGCACATTTCTTCTTTGGAAGAATCACGGCAAGAAATTGGAGTCTGTTGGTCCAGTCTTAAAATGCAAGACCGACCAGAACTGACCCAACTTTGTGGCCCGTGGTAGCCACAGTAAGTCAGTTTAAATGTTATGTGCCAAGTACAGTCACAGAATAACAACAGAAACCATGATACGGTGCCTTGCAATTAATTCTGTATTTAACATTTCTATTTCTAAAGCTGTCCACTCTGGCAGGATTACGGAAGGCTAAAGCAAGTAATAAGAATAGAGTCGACAGTAGCCACGTTGGGCTGGGGGAACTTTTTCGTTTTTTTAATAAATCAAATTTATAGCCTGCCCAGCTCACAGCAACTCTGGGCGATGTACAAGAAAAGCAATCAGTACAGTACAAACAAAAGAAGGAGATAAGCCAGAGATTAATGTGCTATCGCATTAATAAATGGAAGGAAAGGAAGAGGAGGACGACCAGCAGCAAGGGGGACGGACTCAGTTATGGCAGCCACGGGGGCACCATTGGAAGACCAGGTTAGGGGCAGATCATCCCGGAGAAAGCCCTCCTAGGTTGTCCTAAGAGTCGACACCAACGTGACGGCCTAAAATCAGTCGGTCAGCATGATCCCCGTGCTCCAGGGTTCCCTGTCAAGAAAGGGTTTCTGGATGGGGCCTGGGCGGCACCCCTTCAGGTCTTCCAGGGCTGCCCCGTGGCCGCCATAACCGAGTCCCTCCGCGTTGCTGCTGGTCGTCGTCGTCGTCCTCCTCCCACCCTTCCCGGCATTACGGACTTCTCAAGGGAGCCGGCCTTCCCACTGACTGACTGGCCGTGTGCTATCAAGCTCTGGCTCTTGGCGACCACAGAGTCAGACCTCCTCCAGGATGAGGTGTGTCCAGCCTGGTCTTCCAGCCTCGCTGCCCTAACGGAGCCCATCCCGCTCGCTGCTGCCGGCCCTCCTCCTCTTCTCCTTCCCCCCGGCATCAGGGCCTTCTCCAGAGCGCTGCTGGGTCTTCCCATCACGTGGCAGAGCAGGGCCGCCGGAGCCCGGCCACTTGCTCCGGGTCGATGCGCTCAGGGACCGTCGGCTCAGGAGTCCCGAAGCGCCGCGCTTTTGCCTTCCCCGGAGGGTCCGTCCGCTCCCACCGGCCGGCCGAGGGACGGCGCCGGGCGGTCCCTGGGGCTCCCCGAGGCCCTGAAGTTGCCTTCAGGAGGAAAACCTCCATCTTCAAACGGAACATTTAGAAGCAGTTCCCTCTCTTAAAACTATTCTTTCCTCAGTGGGGCGTTTTCACTTTAAAATAAAAACAAAGCAAAGCAAAACAAAACAAAACCTCCTCTCTACCATTAAAGTTCTGAAAGGGATAGGCTCGCTTTGAAATTTAAAAAGAAACAAAGTTCCCCGGTTAAAATCGATGCTTTGAAAGGGAAACGTCCGTTTTAAAAATTAAAACCCCGGAATTGGACCCGTTTCTCGCCTCCGCCCTCGCCGTGGGGGGAGGGGTCGGCGCCGGGCAGCGAGGCGCTTCCTGGGCATGTGCAGAGTCCCCCCGACCCCCCCC